CTCATGATGTTTTGCACCCATATTTGTGAAATCCCAGTTTGGGCATCATAAGTTGCAAGAAATCCCATTCCACCCAGTCATAGGCTTTGCTCATGTCCGCTTTCAATGCAGCATACGAGTCTTTACCCTACGTCTTCTTTTTTAAATAATGAAGTGCCTCGAATGCTATCATGATATTATCTATGATTAATCGTCTCGTGATAAAAGCACTTTGGACTTCAGATATCGTTGGAAAATCCAAACAACTTTTCATTCTATTAGCTAAAACCTTACAAGTGATACGGTCAATCACATTACATAAAGAAATTGGTCTAGCTTGATTACTAGTTCAGATTCTTTCTTTTTTTTGAATTAAAATAACATTGGTTATATTTTTACTAGGAGCCGAATTTTCATTATTTAAACAATCTAAACATGATTGATTGATATCACTACCAATAGTATACTAAAAAGAATGATAATAACCTGGATTAAAGTCGTCAGATCCTGGAGCCTTGTCCGAATGCATAATGAAGACTGCTTCTTTAACCTTTACTTCTGTAAACGAACATAATAGCACCTCATTCTGACTTGCACTAACCCGCTGCTCAATACAATTCAAAATCTCCTCACAATCTCCTTGGCTCGACGTAAACAATTGCTCAAAATAACGAGCAATCCAGTCCCCTAAGCCCGATTCCCATGTGAGCCAATCTCCAACATCATTCTTCAATTTTTGAATAAAATTCTTTTTTCACCGTGAATTGGCCATAAAATGGAAATATTTTATGTTGGCATCGCCATCCTGAAGCCAGTGTTGCTTGGCCCTTTGCTTCCAATAAAGTTCTTACTGACATAAAATCAACATGTATGCATTTTTTGCTGTTCGATATAATTGTGTAGAGACTAGATCAAAATGACAACGATACCTGCGCATCTGAGCCTTGCAGTTTTTCAGATTATCTCGAAACTGATTTCTCCTTTGCTTTTTGTGGGTCCCGTGTGTGTATGGCACAACCCAAGAGGGGAGGTGAATTGGGTTTTCTAAAAATATTTTAGAATTTAAAAACAGAATATCAAATTCTAAGTGCAGCGGAAAATATAAAGAACTTGTGAGAATAAGTTATGGATTAGAACTTTCTCACAATGTTCTATTTATAAAGAATAGAAAGACTATGCAAAGTGCAGCTATTAATTTGTTTCTATTTAATAGAAGAATAGAAAGACTATGCAAGAGTGCAGCTATTAATTGTAGAACTGCTCTCACAATGCTTAATTCAATATAAGGAACTTCTTTATGACGGAAAATTTATTGTATTTT